TATACCAACAGATAGCGTCTGGTCATAGGTTTGTGATACCTGTCTGTTCAGCACATGACTGTAAACAGAAGTTAGGTTATGGCTTACCTGTGTTCCTTTTCCTTTAGTGAAGTTAACATAATTTATGTCCTTGTATGAATCACTTACATCCGTACATTCTCACTGTTTCACTTTCTCAAACCTCGTCCACTAATTTTCAACTGCGCGCTACAACTACTATGCTCGAAATCATCAAATTAGCTATCGACGTGCGGTAGAGATCGATTACAGTTCCCTTGAAAATCGAGGTGTGTTCTTGTTCGATTAAGTTTGGGCACTCTGCCATCTGTTGCTAATATTGACGAACTAAGAACATACACGCACAACAGTCACGAAAAAAAAGTGGGGTCTCGAAATATTACACATCCCGTGTCTTTACTTCGATCCCCCGCACAGCAATTTACATATAAACCTAACAGGACGTGCAGAAACAATTTCATTTTTTTAAAAATCTCACATTTCTAAACAACAAAAGTATTATGTCGTATGCAGGTGTGCTTTTAAATATTGTAATTTTAAGCGAAGGCCTTTGATACAAGTCATTCATGGACTTGAAAGTCACATTCTAAATGTCTCTGTCGTTAATTCAATGATTTCATATTTCCGTAGTTTCGACCTTGGAACTGTCAAGAGTTCTAATTATATGTAGAGCACATTAAAATCCACTCCTGGAGTGAGTGAGTAACTTAGGCTAGCCAGAACTGATAAGGCATCTCTTTCATATGCAAGTCAAACAATGTAACTAATTAGGCGGGAAAAAATGCTAAGTTGGCTAACCTGACACTTAATTGTAGAGCTTATAAATATATTCCCGTTTATTGTTATCGTAACACAGACCAGTCCTTGACAAATAATCATTTGAAGTATTTATGACTGTTTATTTATCTGTGTCAGAAGCAAATTTATTTGCACGCGCTAAGAATATACACGGGAACAGACAAAAGACGCCAGTAGTTGCGCAGTGACGCAATTATTCATTTCGAAAAAGGAAATTGGTGTCGGAAGCAAATTTCAGTTGGGGGTCTATGATGTCTTACAAAACATGACATGGCATGTTAGATTCTTAAAAACGGAAAAGTAAGCAGACTTAAACCTTCCAAAATTAAATTCACCAGGCTATAAAGTGTGCGCACAACGTAACAGTTCAATCTATTTTAAATTCAATAATCTCACACGCCTTAAAACAGGCTTTCACTTTTAAAACCGAATTTACATTTTAATTACTTTAATATCAACATTTTCAGCTTTTTTGTCATGATTTTCTACGATCGTATAATTTCATTCCCACCAAACGATGTAAATAAGACAATTTTAATATTAGAGCAAACAATTTAGTATTTTAATTTTTTAACTACTCAACTGAAGTTTCTAAATTAAATATTTTATACCTTACGATGGATCTTACTTTTATTTCCCTTATGCTACGCCCTCTGTTTTTTGAAAGAGGTATCAGGATGGCAATCCTTAACTCAAAAATTGTCCCTATGCCACCCTGCATCGCCCTTGGTTCGACCGCAGAGCTCTCTGCGCATGCGTCTTCAAGCTTTGTACATTGAACCTCTGTCAAGTCAAGACCTTTTGCTACTGCGACATCGTCATGAACGTATGACGCAGTTAGAACGTTAACAGGGGACAATAAGTCATGTCATGGCGATGTACGAGTACAAATTGAAACTAAATTGCAGGAGCTGTGAAGGAAGACGAATTCAAAGAACAAAGTCGCAATTCCAAATATAACAACGCAAATTTTACGGCGAAATGCGTGGACAATTTTTTGTTCGAAAACCCGAAAATAAGAGACCACTGGGAATACCAACGAGTGCGTAGGGGAATAATATTAAAACGAATCTTAAGGAAATATCGTAGAAAATAGCGGAGAGGATATAGGGACTAGTGGTGGGCTTTTGTGAACATGGTAATGGACTTACGGTTCCATAAAAGCAGTTAATTTCTTGACCAGCTGAGCGACTATCAGATTCTCAAAGAGGAATCTGCTCCATGGAATTAGTTACTTAAGTCAATGAATTATTGAGGGAGGGGTTGAGAATTACAGTTCTTGGTCAGTCGACTAGAGATTTAGTCATTCTATCACTTTGATTAGCCTAGTCTTTAGACTAACTATCTTAATACATCTTTCTAGGTGATTTTCAGTAATTACGAAGTTTTTATAATCCCTGAAGTAGACCCCTTATCTCTGAATAACTTATAAAGATGAATTTTTTCGGACAAATGATAAGTGTAAAATACAGACTGTAATCAAATTCTAAACATCCATTCCAGTAACGGTTTTTTTTAAAAATTTATGTCATAGAATTCACCGTTTGTTAATCGATTTATTTTTTAAAAAATATCTACCGAAACTGGAGCTTTCTTTCACTTTTTCCTTGAAACTTGAAACTTCAAACGAGCTTTTGTTTCTTGTAAGTGAAATCTTGTTCATGCAACACGCTTTGTCTTAAATCCGCCGAGCTGCGAGAAGACATCTTGGTAAAGCAGGCATTTTATCGCGTTAATCTGTATCACACGACAGTATCTACGGATACCAATTAATTTTCGTCACAAACTATTATCGGAGGGTGTGATCTTGTGTGTAAATCTATTAACACATCACGTAAGACTTCAATTAGCTCAAAATAAAATTTATCACAATCTGACGCACGCGTGAATAACAGCATTATAAGCGATACATCAGACCCACGTTGTACTCCGGGTATGAACATGTCCACCAAGACGGTTATATCATTTCATAAAAATTACTACGAAATATGTCTTGACTTATTTACAAAACTGTATCTTCATATTTCGTGCTGTTGAGGTATCTTACTTGACCCAACGAAATTCTTTGCTACAGACTTATAAGTTAAAGTCCATTGTCCACCACGAATAAGCTCAACATACGGCTGGACTCTGACTTCTTGGAATTTAATGACAATCTTTTTGGTTGGAACGACATTGTACTATTACCCTGTACCGTGGAAATCCAACTGTAGCATTTCCAAGACTGAATTTTCCTTCTAACCACTCACTAATAAGATGCTAAGCAGTTGGTAAGACTACAACAAAATTATTACTGTAAAAGAAAAGTTTACGAATATAGAAATATATACTGAAATTCATGTCAACAGAATAAAAAAAAAATACGTGTCTTAAAGTTCATGTATTTAGAAGATTGCTGTCTTCTGGGTTATTGCGCCGTGTAGACTGGTAGATTTCCACCACGGCGCAATATCCCAGAAGACAGCAATCTTTAGATTCGCTGATCTAAAAACCTCAAATCGTAAATTCATGTATTTGCATAAATAACAACGATTCGAAAATTAAACAGATGTAGATTTCACGCATAACGCGGTTATTCAACTCTTCTCTGACACCCATATTATAAGGTATTTAGTATTCAGACAGTCTTAGCTTCCACCAAATAATGCTGACAGTTACAACGGTCTTATGTACCACAAACATAAATTAATAATGAGATGGTAAAGTTGCGTCATATTGTGATATAATAAATATATATTATTTAAATCTTGTCCGTCTAATCACAATAAATTCTTATTAAATATTAAAATATTACAATAATTAACATTTAAAATATTTAAAATATTAAATGATGTTCTTTATCGAAATATCCGATTTACATTAGACCATCATGAAGAATTTATTGCGATTAGACGGACAAGATTTAAATAATATATATAAATTAATAATTTAAATAAAAATAATTAATATACATTCTCACCACATGATTTGGGGTCTTTATCATACGTCTACAGACTTCATTCATTCCTGATAAATTTTATTATAATATTCAATGTACTGGCATGGTCCAAAAGGAAATAAACTCAACTTTCAGTGTAACCTCTACCCCCCAAAAAAGGCAAAGCTTACGAAAATAAGTAGAGTGGCTTAGAAAATTAAACATTCAGACAAAAAGTCTATATTTTGAACTAGATTGTAGCATCCGTTCACGGAACACTGGTATCTCTCGTACGTCACAAAAATCACAGAGATAACACGTCCGGGGATACCAGTTATCTCGACAAAAATTTACAAATAAAAATTTTCCGCTGCAACCAGACACTTCGGTGGGGAAAAAAGTCCAGAAATTTCCCTTTTTTCCCCAGCACTGTTGGTATTCAATAGAATCCCGTAGAAAAAAACACACACACAGTTTCATAAGTTACCTTGTATTTAACTCACGTCATGAAACTGCATTAAAAGTGCCATGACGTCAGCGAGAAGACGTTCACATATTCCAAATGTTCTAGGGTCAGATGTTAAGTAACTAAAAGGGCAAAGTGTAATGTTGATATGAAGACATCTGATATCATCAAACTCAATAGAACACAACTTAAACCAAGCTTATGATACAATATTTGTCATATTGAAATTTTACACACATTTGAGGCGTTATAAAATGTATGAGAGCACATGGACACGAATACGAAAAACTTCTGGACTAGTAAAAAGTAACAGCTGTGATACGACACTTGTTACTTTCATCTGTTGTTTTGTATGGATGTAAAAACTGGCGTCTTACCCTAAATAAAAATCTGAATTCTGAAGATTACTGTCTTCTGGATTTTAGCGCCATGTAGTCTCGTAGAAGTTTACCGACGTTTCGGAGATGCTTGTTGCCTCATCGTCCTGATGATGGAGGCGGCAGACTTCCAGACTACACGGCCCTACAACCAAGATGACAGTCATCTTGTAGATTAAGGATGTCTGTGAAAATTATGAGAAGAACATTTTGATAGTAAGATAAGAAACACATTTCCGAAACGTCCTGCAGTTATGTTATCAAATACACCTCAGGCAACACTCGATGTACGACACAGGCCTAAAAGGACGTGAACTTTGTTTACGTCTGACGTAATACCACGTGATAAGAATGTAACAGAATGTCTGCGTCTTTCTTTGTCAATGGAAACTTTACAGACGCTGGCCTCTATCCAACGTCTCAGATCCTAAGTGGGGACGAGTGGAGAACCAATAGCCGGTCCTATCTCTAGCTGAATAGGTTATAAATGTCTCGAGTTACTGCCACGACAGTTACTAATAGCCTGGAAGTCGCTGAGGGTAGAAAGAATTTCTCGTTTCAGCTGCGTGGTGTTGCAGTTTTATAATTTTGGGACAGTCTTAATCCGAGGCTTGCCAAAACTTAAATCTAAATCGATTTTTTGTGTTGCGATAACAGCGTCCTAGATCCAAAACAATCTCCTTCTGTCCCCGAACATCCAAAGCTTAATCTCGTAACCGAAGTGCGTCATGATGCAGACGACAATCGAGGTGTCTGAGGACGAGCTGGAGACCTCGCCCGCGTTGCAACGGCTGTGGTCCAGACGAATGACCATAACGGCGCCACTACCTGATGACACTGACCTTGGGGCGCTTGACGATGTGTTCCAACTGGCGCAGGTAGGTGCGAACGCAGTAGCCAACTTTAAGTTCTAGCCCTTACAGAGAAATTTTCTGTCCGAATTTAGAAATTCGAAAATCACTGTCTTTTTACCGTGATCAAGGCGCAACATAACGGGATTTTACTTCGTCGCCTTGAGTTCGGAGTGACGAAAGTGGCCTTAAAAACTTCAAGTATGGCGGAAGTAAGCGGACACATAAAACAGCCAATTAGTTACACGCTGTGATATTTAACGTGAAAGACATGCTTCTCGAACGCTCGGTTAATTTCTTGTATCTGTGCCCTTAGGAGCTCTAAGGAAGCAAAGTCTACGTGATAATGGCACAACCTCCCCCCCCCCCCCGCACCCTCTTCTGACGTTTGTGTTAGCAGTGCAAAGGTCAGAGTTCTATTTAATCTAATGGCCTTTTAAATTCGAAACTCGTTTAAATGATATTTAATAATCCAGTCCGTACCGCGAAGAAAACACTACTCTTCACCATTACAAAGATCAACTGGTTAACGCTGTTTAAGTAAATAATCGCTGGTTACGATGAGAGAGAGAGAGAGAGAGAGA